GTTCGGAAAAAAAAAAAAAACCAAAAAGTATGTACAGAGAGCTATGGCTGACGCGCATCACTGCGTGTTCTGCATAATGTTACAGTGCATGTTACAGGTTTGACTGTTCTCCTCGGGCTGGAGATAGAATATCTGAACAAAGTGACTATGAAGCAAGTCCCGGGGATTCTAACCCCCGAACCTTGGAAATTTCACATGATTCAAAGACAGCCCATGCTGTTGAGAGCGGGGAATTATGGTCGCCTCAACCATAAAGCTATGAGCTTGAATTTGACAATATGTCTTCACGTCATTCTTACCTACCTCCTCAAGCCATGGCCAATTTAGCTCAGTTAGAGGCAGTTTCGAGGGATTTTTCCGCTGCAATTGAGAGCCTTACTGCATATTACAGGAATGAAAGGATAGACAGCCCAAGTGCTCCAGGTGCTCGGCTACCGCAGCTGATACCGACAGGAGCAGTATCAGAGGCCCACCGTGCAAGAGAATCAGTGTTGGCGAGCCTGACTAAATTGCAAGTCATGCTTGCTGGCCCGACGGATCTACTCCAGAATTTGGCGTGGCAGGTATAGTACATTTCTTCTCCCTTCCTGATGATACCTAGCTCACAAATAGACCCAATTGCTTGCATGCATACAATGGCTTGGTGACTTCCAAGTACCAGCTTGCATTCCGTTGGACGGGAGAGCCCTGATAAAGAATGTATCGACTCTTATTGGAGTTCCGGAAAGTCAGCTCTGTCGCGTTATCAGAATGGCCACGACAGGGGGTTTTATGCAAGAACCTCAACCGGGGTATGTATCCCACAGCGAGCTCTCAGCGGCGTTTGTGGCAAAGCCATCTTATCTAGATGCAGCCATGTTCTTAGCTGAAACGGGTGTTCCTGCTGCCTTGGACATGGCGACGGCCACAAAGCAATATTCTGACTCTGCTGAGCGGAAGGATGGGGTTCCTAGTTCTTCCGTGTTCGCCACCGCTAGTGAAGCTCAATTACCCCGCCTACACCGGCAGAGACAGGCCTATCTCAGATATGGAACGGGGCATGTGTGTGATACAGCTACGGATGTTTTAACCTGCCTGGACGGGATCAGGTTAACCAACGGATCTGCTGTAGTAGAGGTATTCCTCCCGTTATCCTAAGTATCTATATTTTACTCATCAGGAACTCAATGAAGGTCGGCGCACAATCCACGGAGCGAGTAATCGCCCTCGCAAACCAATATCCATCACTACACTTCACAGTACAACTCCAGTCCTCCAAATACGACAAATGTCGCACTCCGAATCCCCGCATAACTATCTCGCATCGGCAGCCAGGATCGCCGCAACCAATACTGAATGCTGCGGTCTACATCCTCAATTTTCCGTTCCCCGCCCCAGGTTCACCTTATACCTCATTCGCGACGCAAGTCACGGCCGAGCTGCGCGCACATCTACCCGCCCTCAAACTTAACCGTTCCGCTACACTGGTCCTGACCGCGCCGTCATTGTCGGATTCTGCAGAGGGAGTTACGTTAACACGGATCCACAATTTGTCACTCCAGCAATTGGCGATGCAACCCCAGCTAGGGAAATCAGAGGTACTCGATTTGCTAAATGGAGTTAATGACGGGGAGGGAAGGCTAGCTTTGGTTAATCAGGTGAGATCGGTTGGGAAGTATGGGGTCGTTGCATTGGAGGTCAAGTATCAGCCTCATGCGTTCGTGGGATAGAACATGAATTTTGTGCGAAGAACTGTATGAAATGTATCATCTAAATTCCCTCGAAATAACTAGGGTCTCTTAGTACGACATTCTATAGGTGCCAGGTTTGCCTGCTACTATTTAGTGGAAGGATTCCTCCTGACGCACAATCCAGTATCCTCTAGTCCAGTAGTTGGCATGAAGCTAATTCCAAGAAACATACAAGTAATCTGCAAGCATCAGTCTTCAGACAGTGGCAGCGAACCTACTGCTATCCAAGATGCGGTCTACGATATTACGCACGACCTTGGGAAGAGATACTGAAATATTCAAAACGAAGCTCTTTGGATTTGCTGAACCTATAAACCCCGCCGACGAGGCATATCGGACAATGGGGGAATTTCCAACCTTCAGAACCTATGACATTTTGCATGAAGCTGTGTATGACGAATCAAACCACTTTATGGTCATCTCAGTCTCGAATTTATACCCCAAGGTCCTGCAGCAACCTCGAGAAGCCCAGTAGAGCACCAGCCATAGGAAACAGACACCGAAATAAATGTAACCAAGACCATCTTATCACGATACCCTGCACCGATTCGAGTTCAATAGAAGACAGGGTGCTCAGTCCATCTAAATGAAATAGATCGTTGTTGGTTGGGGCCATAAAGATCCATGTAAATGGAACCATGGTGAACGTGCATAGACCGGCCAGCATGTAGGTCCGCCTTTGCACGCAATTAAGGGCTATGTATCCGTACAGGCCACAAGTTGCGACGCAAATTGCCGGCATATAAATGTGGCCGTAGTGATACACACGTACCCATTGTCGCAGCAGGTGCGTGGCATCGGTATCAGTGTCGAGGAAGACAGGGATGACAACCCCCGAGAGACAGACCATGGCACCTTATGCTGTTAGAGTCAATCTTTCTTAGGGTCCTGTATTGCTTACCTGTGAGAAATGAGCCTGCCACCACGGCTGTGGCCTTGGCCCCAATGTTGGAAGGGGGCATATGTACGGTGTTCTTCCTTTTTGTTTTCACCGTTCCGCCAGCGAATGCAAGCCTAAATAGTATAAAAATCTCCGATCCAGTGCGTCTACGACCATATGACCGCACAGGAATAGATCGGGTATTCTTGGACAATTGCCGTATGGTAAAAAAAACACACGCGATTCCTCTATCCCGAGCAGCCCTAACTTCGGGGTCCGGGCCTTTTGCTGACGCTGACACTAGAATTGTCCCGGCCCGAAAAAGATTGGTACCTACCTATATACACCATGCCACTTCATACAGGTTGCTGCAGTTAACGCGCCATGGATGGTATAGCCTATGTGAATGAGGCTAATCATAAGTTGTAGGAATTTGATCTATAATTAGTCTTAGTTCGGATAGTTAACTAACTAGTATGATCTATAGTTAATTAGTCTTAGTTCCCATAGTTATACTAACTTAGGTAGTTACTATCCCTAAAGTTTCTACACACAGATCCTCATATCTTTAATTTTAGGGTGGTGTAAAATGCTTCATTTTATGCATTAAGGCATGAACCCCCCCAAAAATGAGTTTTCAACCCTGATGGCTATGCCGCTTCGTAGCGGGGTCTATTCGAGTAATTAGGCCAAAAAGAAAAGACCTATCCAGTACCTATGGAACAGAACGTCTATAACCGTAGGGATGGATAGTCCAGCTAACGGCATTCTCCCCTTATTGCGAGCCAACCAGCAGCTTTCCCTTCACTATATATTGTCTTCTCTTTCTTAGTGGCGAAGATTGCTACTTTGTCAAATAGAGGGGATCCGATTATAGTCTCCAAAGACCTTGGTCATTCTCCACACCCAGCTCTTCAGCTATCTTCTCGTCGCCCGGAAGCCGCACGGCCATCCAACCTTCCCAACCCTGTAGTGTGATCCGCTCTTCATCTGGTGCCCAGTCGAAAGGGCCACAAATATTTCGTTCACTATCCTCTTTTCCTCCCCATCGCATCTCGTGGGTCTGCGGATCAAGATAAACCCAACGGAGAGTTGGAGGCGTTTCGCCTGAGATGGTGACGAACCCTGATGTGTTACCAGGGGTGAACTCAGGGTGTTGGTAGAAGCCACCATTTAGTGGGACAAGCTGCGGACTGGCAGATTTGGTGATGTAGATCTAGATTGTGGTTAATTATAAGCCAGGCTCGATTTTAGATGGCCTATACGTAGAAGATATAAGCCAAATCGGTTATAAGGGAACTAACGTGCCTTTTTATCCGCGCCCAAGTATACTTTCGCATTATGAACTGCCAATCTCTGCTGCGGTGGTCTATCCAAAGGCATGCATTGTACCGTGTTAACAGATTGGTTATAACTTCCACTTACCGGCTGAATTCGAACCACCAGGTCCACAATAACGGTTATCCCGGTGATATCAAGAATATGGTTAAATTCTGTTGGTCGGTCGTTGACCATCCCCTTCGTTTTGACTCCGTGGTTTCCGCGTGCCGCCGCTTGACCGGTGGACTCCTTAACAGCTGTGTTCGTTTTCCACTACCGGATATGCCTCGCAGCGGAGCCAAATGTAGCTCTTTACGCTTCTAAATTACTGACCAGGTGGTCGTTCCAACGGGCAGTTTTTGCCGGTCCATGCAATCTCGCCAGTATTATGCTCTCACTTCCCGCATATGTGGATCATTCGCGCCTACGAACAACTGAGGTACGTAGCGGAAAAATCACATGTCTTACTGACAAGACCACTAAGTTAGCGATCTCAGGGGGGGGGGTGGAGCTGCGAGGGCCTAGAATCCCATTAAGACGTAAACAGAATAGTGCTGATTTTGTCTTCCTAAAAGGGTTGATTAACGCCTCGAGGGTTTAATTTTTTTGCACTAGGAACGGTACTGTACTGTAGCTGTGTTTGACTTATACTCGTCGCAGTTCACTGCTACGTAAGTGGTTAATGAACACGTCAGACTTGAGGCTTCTTATCCATGCCTATAGCACATATTTGTACTTCAATATTCTACGATATACAGTATATAACATGGCGTAGATATATACAGAAAATACACCGTAGTGAATCGGGCGCTGAATCACGCTCAGAATGTTTAAGACAATTTTTGGAGATCAGCGGATCTGATTTGAGGTGGGTCTGACGGTTCTGCCTTTGATGGCCGTGATCCTGTAGTATTCTATTGAATCGGATTGCAGCAAGGAAACTTTTCAAAGGGCGCAGGTCTGCGCTTTAAGTGATTTTTAATTTGTTGTCGTTTGTCTCTACAGTCATCTCGAAGTTCCGGCTTGCCGATACACATAATAACTAACTGGCACCACCGCCAAGGCCTTAGTGCAGATCAACTATTGAGCCGACCACGTTTAATTGGGGGGGAGTGTTTGACTAATCGGGACGAATAACCACATGCCGTCCAGCGGCAGAGTTGAACAAAAGTGCGATACGCGAAATGAACAGGCTTGACAGCGGGAGGAATAACCTTCTTTTCTTTCGTTGTGTCCAGCCATTTTCCTTTACCCAGGAACCCACTATCTGTTTAACTGTAAGAAACCATTGGATTGGAGTTTCTCCAGAGCCAAGGATAAGCAGGATGGTCAACTGTTCATCTCGTTGCAGGCTTATTGCGTATCTAGGTCAGGACTTGCTAAGGCCGGTGAAGTGAGCATCAGTAAGGCCTCACCAACCAGCTTCTGTGGAAAGAGATTGCAATCTTTCGTTGTTAGATCATGACCAACATTGGTGTCCAATTGACCAAGCTCCTACCTTAGCATTGAACGCCGGTAAGGTTGCCCACGAGTCTGTCAATTAGTTTCCATTAATTCCTAGACCGGTGCTCATAGCCCTTTTCTGTTCGACAATTGTGGGTAAGCTAGTCCAGATGTAGATTAAAGTGGGCCTGGCCAACACTCAAAAAGAATTAGAATAAAGTGATGAAACTGGTTTCGAGCGGACTGTAGCGCTGGCTCAAAGGAAGAAAGGAACTTGTTATGCAAGCGTTGATTTATGCGACCGACCGTTCCACAGTAGGGGAATCTAACACAATGAACAAAGAAATGGCCATTCTCATCAGAGATACAAGAAGCAAAGCGTTCAGGACATGAGCCTCTTCGGCCCCTTCTGAGATCAATGAATCCAAATCATTTTTACTACACTGTGAGTGGTCAGCATCGTCCAGCCTTTGCAACGGCTATACTAACCCTAAAAATCTCTAATCTATCCTCTTTCGGTATCGCATTTCGTGCATTGCCTGAAGCCCACCATAAATCTCTCGATACATACCCAAACCCTTCTTATGCTGGGCAATACGCCTTTGCGAGCACTTCCTCTTGTGGAAAGCATATACCAGCGGACGAAAGCTTTGATCAAGTTGACGTCGGGAGCAGGAGACCCTTTTTCGATCTCATGGCTATCTGGAACCCTCCCGGTATCAGCAAGAAACCTAAGGAGTCAATAGATACGGATGCTTAAATAGCATGTCGTGGCCGCTTAACCGATCCAGAGTTTGACATGCCTCTGGTGAAGGGCTTTGGCCTTAGCAGCTCGGTCATGCCTTCATGAATGGTACCCTCTCGGAAGACTTCCTGATGGGACTCGGAAATTTACGATAATGGTATCATACATTATCATACCTGTTTTATGTAACTCAGGTGTTCCAAGTATTGTGGCTTATCTGTCTCAAAGCGGTGGCTGTGCAGGTTGGATTAAGAATCCTGTAATTACCTTACACTGGTAAATAATGCGTAACTGTATCGAATACGAGCCCATAACACAGCTGACTAACCTGATTACCGAAATGGCCAGGCTTTTATCAATAGTCTCAAGGCGTAATTGCATTTTAAGTTCTAATATGTCTTCAGAGATGTCCAAGTAACTGGAAGTAGCTTGTCGCGCCTTGTCCGTATATCTCCTGCTTTGCTGTTCCGAGATACTGATTTAAAGGTCGGTTATTCATTCTAAGGGGATGCAAGAGGAAGTCCAGCTGGTTTTCAATGAGCTCGTTTCATCCTATAGATAGTGCAGAACTAATTTTGACGATGTGGCTTGGGTCCTGATTTGCACGAGCCTTAACCCAAAACAGTCTGAACCTGTCATGTGTAATCCAACAGCATCGACCTGGCAAACATAGGCAATATGACAAGATAACTGGCGGGTATCTTGACAGTTCTACAGACTTTTATCCAGGTCTGCAATATGAAGCTGGAATACCGAGGAGCAGCGGGTAGAACTCGGCCTTTTGGTTGCAAATCTAAATAGGTTAACAAACCAGGATGCGACGTCTTCGCTCCAATAGATGAGCTCTTCTTGTTTTCTCGAATATCATGGCTCGATTGAAGGCTTTCAATTCCTACGACAGGAAGAAGCATGGTCGGACAAGCTAGGGCCAGGGAGCAAAATTATGCCTGTAAGTCAGAGTGGAATGATACAGACTGAAGACTGGCAAGCGAGGGTCTCGATTATCGTGGCATGACCGGTAATATATAGTCATATGTCACGAGCTCATTAGTGATAGGAGGGGCGAGGACTCATTTTCAAGCGTATTCGTGGCATCTTCAAACTGTCTCTTTCAGGTGCGGTACTCCACTTGGGACCTTCTGAGTTTCTGGAGTACTACTATTGTACCATATAAATCGCATCTAAATAAGTAACATTTAGACCAAGTTCGTGAAAGGCTCAGATACCTCATAGCCATTGGTCTATGTCGATGTCTGGCAATTGATGGAGAAGAACGGGCGTCGCGGATCAAGCTCACTTGCGTGGAAGGGGCTATCGTTGGTCCAGCTCAATCGGGGGAAGCACACCATTTGCGTCTGGGTAAATGACAAAAAGAGCATGTGCAAGTAATGTGGGCTTTAGTACGTGTAACCAGACCGAAAAATCAAGCTAGGATCTGTTCTCTCTCAAATCTTAGTGGATTTTATGCTACTAAATTCAGTCAGCCACAGGCCCCCTGCAAATTCTCGCACTCCCCCTAGTACAATAGTGAGAGTCACTTACGTCTTCCCATTAGGTCTTGACCATATATAACAAATTCAGAGCTCAGTAATATGCATGAAATGGTCCTGCAACTCATTGGGTGGAATAACTGGATATCGACCAGGTTGTCGGTTTTCTTTGCAGCATCAGAAAATCTGCATAATGGTTAGGCTTTTGCTCTGGCTGAGGGGCTGGAAAGAGACAGACCCAGAATGCTGACGGTTGCTTGAACTTATGAGCAGTCTTTATGAGACCTTGAGGAGAAATGCTTGAAACTTGGATATGTTCACTCTAGGAGGGATCAGTGTTTCTTTTATATACATACTTTTGACTCTCAGCGGTCACACCTCTCGCGGATGGGTACCAGCACTTAAGCTCCTAGGATCTATATTATCTCACCAACCACACTATGGTAGCACGAAAGGTCTGAGAGCTCCTAGGAAGTCCTATCAGACTTTAGCTAGAATGAGGTATTTTCTGATTGCTAGTTAGAATATGTTAGGCAAATGAGGGGCCGCAAATTTCGTCATGGGCCGCTAGATCATCCAGTAGGTATGGTCGATGGGTCTAGAATATTTTTGCGGATGTCCATCGCTAGAGCTGGAGTCGTATTCCTAGGAGCAAGCGGCAAGCAGCAAGAGCGATAATCCGTTGTTATTCAAGCGAAAAAAAATCTGAGCAAAACAATGGACTGATTTACAAACTATCCAATTGGGGTTTTCTGGGATATTCCTAGATATTATAGAACAAAAAGTTGAAGGTTGGATAATTTCCGCAACTATGTAGAGACGGTATCGTAGATGCAAGGCTCGGCGAGTTGAATAGCGGTATAGCCGCAGAATAGTAAACCCAATAAATGTGGCCCCACTATTAATTTGCCCCTCAGTTGGAGGTGAAACAACCAGGATCGACCGACAAATTGATGACGCCAGCCTTTCGTTGAGGGGACAACGGTCAAGAGTTCTGGTGAACAACTGCATTTGGATGGGGCTAGCGTGGTGCATTTTATTGAGGTGAGTTGCTGACTTAGCTGCTCCCGCGTCGTGCTCAGTAAGTGGGTCAGGCTGCTCAGGTGATGCTCAGTGAGCTAGTCAGAGCGCTCAGGTCAAGCTCAGCGAGTAAGATCAGGCTACTCAGTGAGCAAATCAGAGCGCTCAGGTGACGCTCAGTGAGCGAGTCATCCAGCTTATGTAACGATCAGGTGATGCTCAGTGAGCGAGTGTGGTGATTATGTAATACTCAGGGGCGTGCTCAGTTCTACTCAGTGAGCAAAAAGCGGCAAAGCCTGAGCACTAAAACGGAAAGGGAAAACCAAGAAGTGGCAGAGGAAATCAAGTACATAGGTATATCTGCACTATAGCAGAGCAGGGTTGCGAAAACTTTGTCTTTCATCCCACGTCACGTAAAGTTTTTGTCCTTCACTTGCGATCTCTTTCTACACACGTCCTAAGCGCCGAAAAACGCCGGTCTCCGCATGTTCGGTCTTTTGCTAGTGGCGCTGAAAAGCAAGCTGTGCATATCTCACTGAAGAATGATACATCGGGATGTGCTTTATCCATTGGCATTACGGGTATTCATGGCTTTGATATCATTATATTGAGGGCATTGTGTTTTAGGATTTATTTCGGATACGTATAGTCTTGATATCTTTTTTGAGTCAAACCGGAGCTCACCTCTATGTCCCTATTCATGTGTCGCTAATAGATGGCTCACTAGCTTTCTGCGAGGCAAAAAAGCCAGGTTCTCGTGATGCATCCCAGCTAGGCATGTACATTGTACGGCAGTGGTGAATGCCAGGTACCAGTTTTGCATCTCTTTAAGCCTTTCGGCGGGTACTGTCTCATATTATATCCGCTGTAGTACATTGACATTTGATGAGGCCGTGTAGACATATCAATCTAGTCTCAATAGAATACATCTTATGATAGGTGGCAATTGAATAGAATTGAATCGGCATTATGCTGATGCTCATTGATGCTGGTATAACGCATGCGCTGAAGGGAACTAAATACAGGTGAGGGAAGACGATGGGGTGTAGTAAGAGGCATTGTGGGGCGGAAGACAGAACAGGTAAGGCGACGATGTGGCGAAAGACTTGGGGTATGTAGTAGTAAAGGGATTCTCAATCCTCTTCAATCCCAGGCTATGTTTCCCCGACGTGTTATGATTAGAAGACATGAATCGGAATCGTGGAGGGACGATATACGTTAATAAAGATGAAATTGCGGTGGGTGATAATTCATCACGGGGAGATTGGTTGAACATATAAGGCTGGAAAGAAAGAGGTGGGTTCTTGTCTAACGAAACCGTCCGAAGAGAAGGTGGTTGAAAGAAAAAAGATCTTTTGAGATGAAGGGTCTCGGAGATATTAGGTGGTTCGGGTTTGGCGGGTGATCCACCAAGGAGGTGCTGATTGAGTGCTCATCGATGAAACAACTCACATAGCGAGCCAAGTGCGTGTTTCACACCTGAGATCTCCACAGTCACTGATAGGAAAGTGGAGGGTGCCAAGCTTTGCTTCTCGGCTGTCGGGGTTTCATGGCGGGTTGCAACGTGAAACAGACAAGCCATCTCTTCAGGTGATTCGTGCACGGAGCACCGCCAAGGGTTTGCATGGACGAACAAAGCCATTCAGGGCTGATATTCGATTGGATCAGGTGCTAAAGCGTTTGTCGGCGCTCTCGGCCGCTTTACCGTTTGGGACCCCGGTATCCGATGTAGATTGAGATGCATCTGCATCTTCCGTCGACGCTGCAGCTGGGGTATTACCGTTGGTGGCTTTGATTCCAGACTGAGCATTCGTGTTAAATGGTGGCTGCTGCTCTACCTGGGTTGGCGTAGATATTTGGTCAGACTCGGTGGACTCTAGGCTGACATCTGCGATCCCGGTGGCCTCAAGGTTCGGTTCCCCATTCAGGGACGTCAAACCTCCTTCGATGTCTCGCAGAAGACGCACGAACTCCTCTGGGACAAGGCCATTCTCCCCTGTCTTGGGATCTTCTGCGACCAGCCAGCCCTGGCCATGTCGGTATGAAACATAAATCACTTGGCCCTCGGTAAGAGGCAGTTCGTTCTCATGTTCTCGTGTGAAGTCAAAGAGCGCAACGGCCTTTCCATGCATCTCTTCATCCGGGCAGCCAACAGCAAACTGATAGTCTCTAGAGTACCGGTTTCCACCGGGAATTTCATCTTCGGACTCAAATCCAGTGTCATGTTCATAACCCTGCTGGCCACCCGGAGCGCTGTATCCCATGATTGAATAACGCCCCTCATTTGCCGGATACGTCACATACTCACCCCCTGGTCCATCATCTGACGTGTCTCCATCATTTACATAATAAGTCTCACTGCCATCGGCGTTGATGCCAACGAGCATTCCGCGATCATTGCTCACCGCCTGGCCAGTTCCAGACATGACTCTCTCATCTACAAGGCCATTCACGTCCGAAGACTTCTTGCGATGACGCGAGGTCACAACTGGGCTATGCAGGTCTTCATCCTCGCTGTACGGTGGTCCATCCCCAAAGGACATGGCTGGCAACTGTTGATGGGCATGGCTAGTCTGAGTTTCTGTGCCCGATTGGCCTGTTGACCATCCACGCGATATATCCCAGGAAGGCGGTGGGTCGGAGAGGCGTCGATGTTCACTTGCCGGTGTGGAGACTCCGGAGGCGCGAGGAGGGGGAGGCCCATAATGGAGGGGGTGGGTGGACGAATAGGCAAAGTCTCGCACAAGAGCGTATGGCAGGCTGGTATGGAAAATCGGGAACACATGGGAGCCTGGGCGCGAACGATTCTGTGATGCAAACGAGACATTGGAATACGTAGAGAGCCGATCTTTCGGATGCGTCGATGACCGTTTCACTGTCCCATCGGTGAGGATGGGTGGCAGGACTGAGAGGTTGTTTGTGGACAGAACATTCTGCGATGATGTGGGAGTGGACATGATGGTTGACATGGAGAAAGACCCAGGATTGAGTTCGGAATGAGGAATAACGAGGCGGATCTCAGAAAAGGAAGTGTGGGGTTGTTCATCGGTAGCGTGGTTGGCGCTCTAGTTTCGCATTGCGATTGACGCACTATACTGTTGAATTTCGTACTCGCAAACAGCGGGTGTTCCTTCAGTTCAAACAAGGGAGGTATATCTTGTGATCGGAGATCGAGGAGGTATTGGGCTCAGGTACGATGTAGCAAGCGCCCAAGTAGTAAGGGACCAAAAATGATTCTAGGTTTGTGTGATTCAAACCAGGGGCAGCCCTTGAATGTCAAGCTTTTCGAGCCAAAAAAGGATGTTTGTCCCAAGGGGCTCCGGTGTAGTAGACGGTAAATGGGTGGGTAATCGGCAAACACGAGGGAGGGGGGGTGGGCAAATGTGGTCCGAGTGGAACGCCGAACCGCGACAGGGAAGATCCCACGATGAGGAGACGATATCAACGAAGGAAAAAAGCCAGCAACCTTGCAAGGTTTGCGTAATAGAATATCCGTTCAAGGTGGGATTAGTGAAATCGAGACCGTTGTTCCAGCCGTTTGTCCCGCGATCTCGGGGGCAGGGAATTGCTAAATATAGCAGAAAACTGCAGAAAGGGCCAATGTCAGATATAAATGTAACGGAGGCACAGCGCTTATGCGGGAAAGAATGTGCAGACCGCACGATGACAAGGATTAGGTCAAGGCCACATGGGAAATGGGAATTTGAGGAGAAATCCACTCGCGAGTGGACGCTCGGAGATTGCCATACCTGTCTAGGTTGTAGTTGAACTAAAGTAATGATCAGCGCGTAGTTGGTTGAATTGGGCTGTTGGTTGTTGGAACAATATGATTTATCGAGATGAACTGTAGCAAAGGAAGTAGCAGGAATCAGCCGATATGCAAGGCAGCCGCTCAAGAGTCACAGAGTTGGGCGTGTGTGAATGGGTGAAGCTTGAACCCGTCGAGAGTCACGTGCGACACAACCTTAGCGTGTTTCAGCTCTGGTTTCGTCTATTCCCGTTTGGGACTAAAGGCTTTATATGGGATTGTCCTACTTCAATTGCTTGATGTTCATTTATGTATGTAGGGCATCTGACACATGGAGTCGGGGTTACAACGGGATGATTAGCTTACAATGGAATCAAAGGGTTGTCATCTCATTCAGATTTTCGGTCGCATTGTCCTATCTTGGATGTTTCGGTCTTTCATCTCCATTTTATGTGGGTTGACTCCCAGCCATAAATACAGTGCTTGTGCTGACGACCCAATCTGTCACTGTGACTGTTTTGGGTTCAAACCCTGTCACAGCTAACGATGTCACAAAAGTGGTCGGCTGAGAGGATGACTGAGAGGATGGCCCAGAGGATGGCCCAGAGGATGACTGAGAGGATGACTGAGAGGATATCGGATCGCCGAGTGCATCGAACTGCGAAGGAATTGCAGCATTGTTGAGATCTTGGCCACTCTCATATTCGCTCTTGATCGCCTGCTTGCTGACCTTGTTCACCAAGTCCACATCCATACAAGTTGTGTAGATCTCGGCCTTTCCATTGGGGTATGTGGGATCACCACCCGCAGCAGTGGGCCAGTCCCACACCCAATAGAGTGTGTAGGGCTTCCCACTGGGAGCATTGGAGGGAAGTTGAATATCTTGCTGACACCAAAGGTCTGTTCCCATCTGCGGGTCTGCTGTGTGGGTGTACGTCGCTTGTCGAGTCCCAGAGATCTCCCCCGAATTGACCTGGTAGCAACGGCCGTCGTCGTAGTTCTGCACTGACAGGAGAACTCCCCGCCCATCACCTCCAGTGCCATCTTGAGTCCAGGCTCCATGAACATCAAGGAGTCTCTCGCCTGTCTTGGGTTGGGTGGTCCCATATACATAAACAGTTCCCCGGTTCGCGGGCTTTCCGGGCTGGTTCTGAGGAAGTGTGACATGGCCATTTTCCTGGTAGCGAAGGGCAATCGCCGCGCCAGCGCTGGCTTCAAGTCGAGGGCTTCCCTCTGACTGAGTCTGATCCTGCTGGGTGTCCTTGCACATCTTGTCGGTTGGCAGAATCTGGGTCACATCCGCCCTTGTGCTAGGTGGAATCAGGTAGGTCATGGTAGTGTCGCTAAAGCCCGGTGTGGTGCGCAGGTAGTTCCCTCGCGCATATCCTGGAGTGCCGACAAAGGTTCCATTTGGAGCAATGAGGGTGAGCTCTTCCACCCAAGAATGAGCGTGCGTTGGGTTGTACAGAGCAAGGAGCACTATCAATACGATGATCAACATCGTGACGGTGATTTTTGATATGGAGGGTTCGAGGTCAACGGTTGTAAGAATGAGGTTTTGTGGACTTGAAGAGGACGGCGGCCGGCGGCTTCAAATCGAGTAGGTATTTTAGTATATCTTTCTTTGATCATAGATATGGAACAGATGTGCGGTCGCTCAAGTGGGAAGTGCCGTATTTATTGAGTGAGAAGGTCGATGAAGTGGCCAGGTCGAAGGCTGCAACAATGGGCTTTGTTGATATGAATAGGATCATTGGTATGATAGACCTGTGACAATGAGTGTGAATAGAGAATGGGTCGATTGTTAGTCTTTCACCAAACACCCCCAGGCCACGACAAAAATAAGGATAAGAATGGTATGAAAGGGTTTCAAGGGAATCGTTACACCTAAAGAAATCATTGTCTGACTTCGAGTCCTTGGCATCTAATTGGAGAGGCTCTGAACTTGATTCCAAGCCGTCATTGTTACAATCAAAACTGTTAATAGACCGAGATACAAGCCCAATGCCCTTGGGGGCTTCTGCACAAAGGAATGATTGGGTGAGAGGGCTCAGTTCCCGGGAGATATTTAGAGTCACGGAATATTTTGAGACATGCCCGGTTCTCCTGGCGCGTAGCCGTGACATCTGCGTGACTCCAGGTGCTCGATATTCCAAGCTTGCAAGTATGTTGCAGGTCTGCAGGTCCGTTGGCTCAGCAAGCATGGTCATTGGCTGATTCGGGGCCCTGGGCGCTTCGCCGTCAGAGTCGAAATTAAACGAAAGAAGAGCCCCTTGAATGTCTGCAAGAAAGAAAGAAAGAAGATCATCTTTAGCGCTTTAATTTCCTGAAGATTGCTCTGTTTGCATTTTTCTGTTTCACCTGATCACCTGTGTAGGAGCCCCATTCACAGAACACATACATGATGACTTGAACAACTTATAGATTTATCGCAAAAGAAAATTAAAAGATTCGTTAGTATATATTAGAGCCTATATTAAGTTTTCTTTCCTTTTTTGGGGAAAAGGCTGTGGTGGTGACAGCAGCAAAGGCAGAGGTTCATCGTCCCACTCTATCGTGACCACCTGAAAGCTTCTAATGATTTGCTGTAGCAGAGAGACCTTACTCCTAAGCACATATTCGGTACAGACTTGGAAACAATAGTGAATGTTGCTGATGGATCTTAGCACAGAGAATCCATCAGCGCGCCTTCCTCGCGAAGTCACGTCATGGTATCGATTTCCTTCTATGGCTTCTCCATTTCGCCATCCTCTGCACCGAACTGAAACCGCCTCATCTCCTCTCAAGAGTGACTGCTACAATTGCATTGTTGCAGAGTTAAAGAGTTGGAAAAAAAAAGCTCACACGCGGAGTCGAACCACGGATCTCATGATTACAAGTCATGCGCTTTACCACTAAGCCATGCGAGCTAGTTGCTGATCCTAAATGGACTAGGGAATGACAAGTGCAATTTACCGAATACCATGCCAATGTTCCATACGGGATGAATCAAGCAAGCACATATCCACACTAAAAAAGCACAACCATCTTGGCGTCCACACTTTCTATCTCACATCCACTCTCAACTGTTTCACCGCGCACTCAAAAATCTACACCCTAAATGCCACATTTACCAATATAGTGGGCGCTCGTTGAGGAGCCGTTCGTCTTTCCTTCACTTCGAGAAACCTGTTCTACACTTCTCTGTGATATCCTCGACAGAAAGCTTCCCGGTTGGAATGAATGATCTACTCCCAAGACATCAAGATAGGCGGCGGGATTTCAGCGGTCACAGACCATCTCCTTAGCTACATTAGACTCGAGATCCTTCAGCTACAAGGTCGTGCTGAGACTCTTAAAGAAGTCAGAAAAGTGCAAGAAAAGGATGAAGGTTGGAATGGCGACACGTGTATGGATTTTATCACCGATACAAGGGACCGGGGCTACAATAGGTGCTACATTGGACAAACGACCAACTCTGAGCATCGAATCATTCGAGAACGTTACCGAAAAATGTTGAATAAGTCTCTCGATACCAGACTTCAATATTTTATTTTTTATCTTGGGAATGGGCAACGAACCGCTAGCTTTATCCGACTTTGGAACTTCCCTAAAATCCGTCTCGGAGAGTGATTTTTCGGAGAACGAGCCATTGGTGAGAAACTGGAGAGAAACCCAAATGAATATTTTGGAGGCTTTATTCTGTAAAACCTTTCGCACCCACCATGGAGTTCTCGATCGATACGAGAACCAATTTCTGCAGTTTGCTAACTATGGGTACCTTCACCCTTTCCAAATTCCAAGATGTCCTTGACGACAACGACGACTTCCAAATCCAACACGACCAGCTCGTTCAAAGTCTCAAGATTTACTTTCTCCAGCGCCTAGTCGCCCGGAAGATCACACGACCACGGACCTCGAAGTCACTTGAAAGCGGTAGCAGCTATCCATTAAGATCACCAACTACATTATCACAAACATGTCGACTTTCCTCGTGCAACAAGTGAACTATCAGGGTGTGGGAGTCGAACTAGCAGATCTTCTAATAATTATAGTTATAGGATACATTTTAAATGCTAGTCTTAGGCTGAAGGTGTGTGTCAAGACAGATCATCTGATAGATGGCTTGTTTATCAGGCCTAGGCTAACTATTCAGCTAGCTTTTGGTTTGTTTATAAAGAGTATAAAGAGTATGGACCATCTTCTCTCCTCTCCTCTCTTGTCACAATC